AGGTCGGTTGGGGTCACGTCGGCTCGGGTCACGTCGGGTCGACTCGGATCACGTCAGGTCGGCCCCAGGGCTGCATCAGTGTCGCCCCAGGGCCGCATCTGTCGCCACAGGGTCGGTCAAGCGTCGCCTGAATTTTGAGCGTCGCCTGAATTTTTGGGCCTATTTTTTTATTATATAGAGAGATAAACTGAATAACTGAATTGAGTGATTAAACTTGTGCGTTTCGTTGTGTTGTTAGTATTTCATTGGCCGAATACTAAATAACTTGTCATGTTTCGCTCGTTTTCATGAGTGATTAAGTCCGGGAGAGATGATATGTATAAAAAATGTAAAAGAAAAACCCAGCGCTTTCTTTAAGAAATTCAATTTGTTTTTCGCGTCAATTTTATTGAACGCTGCGTCATTTTACCCTGTTATTTTATAAAGCGGTTTTTTTGACGTGTTTTTTTAAACTCATCTGGATCCATGGACGGAGAAAAACGAGAAAAATTACTGAACAAGTCAAGAGCGTGGACTCTCTATGGGGGAAAAAGTGCGAGACGATTAGTGAATTTTTCTCCGTTGGCCCGGGAAAATTGACTGAACAGGAGGGTAATTTGTGCCGAAACTGTAATATATGCGCTGCAGTCCATCAAAAATTATTCCAGTGAACGTGAATGATTGCTCAATATTGCGTATAATTTTTCTGTAAGGGAGAATGATTTTTTACCGAACGCATTGGGTAAAATTTTCCTTTCACGCTACGGTTCAATTGTTTTACCGACTTGTCGCTAAACTAAAATTAAAAATTCCTCTTTATCGTGACATTGTCACTAATTTCCAGGGACGTCGTCACTCATTCTCATGAAAATGTCATTGATTTTCACAGACAGCTCTAATTTCTAGGGATCTATCACCAAATTTCAGTGATAGAAATCACCGATGATCAGGCTTATTTTAGTCAGTGTCCACTATCACCGATAATTGATGATAAATTTATAAAAATCAGAAACATGTCTTTGGAAGTAAAAGACATGTTCCTGAAAATCAAAATTTTTTTCCCCTGTGTTCGTTCTCAAAAGAGATTACATATTTCGGAAAAAGGGCGCAAGGTGACGGCTGGAAAGAAAATTCAGTACTGGCACTGGAAATTTTATTGAGTAACACGTGAATTTTTGCCGTTCTTAGA